CAAAACATATAAAAAGACATAAGTTCGTTGCGATAGAGAATTAATTGCATTCAAATAAACATATCTAAGTAAAAGGCCATTTCCGTAACCCTCAATATATCGTGACCCAACTTCGATTAACCCAACAGTATAGAATCATCACGTCTCTTAACAGATCTATCTGACAAATAGATTCAAAATTTTCAAAAACATATCGGATCTCCTAGTCTAAGCATAAACTTTTCTAATTTCCAATTCCAAATATAATAAGACCATCGTATATCACAAGTCTCAATCTAAAATAATAAAATTATCTTAGTCACTTTTCTAAAAAGTATACACATCACAGTGTTATTTTAAAATTATACCTTAATGGGTCGATTAAATTCCCGAAGTAAGCAACTTAAAAATAGTAGATGTAAGCGAAAATATGAACAACGAGAAGACTTGCTTAATTACCTAATTTCAATCTTCGAAGAATTAGATGATGATGATTTCTATTATATCATAAAAAAAATAATTGAATCTCGAAAAATGAACACTTGTATTCATGCAAAACGTAACGATATGTTTATACATATTTTAAATTTACCTGATCCCCAAATTTTTGATGCATCGATGCTTCTTCAAACAATGATATATCCCCGAGGAAATCGTAAAGGAGAAATAATCTCTACCCATTTACAAAAAAAGGCATGTGAGTTTATAAATACTAGTTTCTATAAACATGATCATACTATTGGTACATTAGAATTAAAAAATAAAAATATAAAAAAAGAAAAACGTCGTCTAAAGAGACTTAAATCTTCTTTCAATACTCGTTCACTTTTCTTACGAATATCGAGAGCCAAACAATCTAAGCAAAAACAAATTTCAAAAATTCGCTCTTCAATTCGTAAAGCAAAAAAAATTAGTCCTGTCCAATTCCGGCATGCAGCAAGTAAATTGTTTAAAATTAACAATAATGAATATGATGCGAGATTTGTAAAATTAGCCACTGACATTAGTACTATAGGACAAACCTCAATAAGTGCAACAGTAGAGATCACTAAAGCCGTTTATTAGTTTGTAACCGGAAAAACGCCACAGCATTGAATAACAGCAAGAACTTTAGCACGATGGAATAATGAAATAGCAGTTGCGTCTTTCGCTCAAAACCATCCCGTTGAAGGTTCTAGATTTTTTGGCTATAGAATTATGGTTGATGAAAGTACTCGAGGAGAAATAAAAGTGCTAATTATTTGTCTTTCATATTGGAACCATATTAAAGAAAGGCCTACAATTACCGTAATAAAATTAAAAGACCTAACGCATTGTAACGCCGAAACAGTTTCAACTGCGGTGTTTGAAGCATGTCAACAAAAAGGAATCGATTCCCAAAAATGTCATTTTTGGTTAACGGATAATACGGCTTATATGTCCTCGGAAGTTAATGGCGCAGTTGCTAAGTTCAATTCGTTAGCATCATCTAAATCGTTCCGGATTCCTTGTGGGCTACATGCAACCCATATCGCTCTAATAAATTTTGAAAATGTAGCGTATAGAAAAGTAGATAATATTAAAGGGTTATCATTAAAAGAACATCCATATAATTTGCTTTATCTTGCTTTTTACCTTCATGATAGATATAATCTTTCGGATAAAGACAGTCCGCTAAACCTAAAATCTGGAACATTGCGTAAACTCTACAAAACTTTGTTCGACTTTGAAATGAGCCAATACCAACAACCTATCCATCAACGATGGTTATATGAACTTAAAACTGCCAAACAATACCTTGATAGACACGAAGTTCATATCCGCTTTGCTTAATTTTTTATTAATCAACTTAAAAATGCCAAAGACATTCCAAAGTCATATTTGAACAAGTGGCAAATATTTCTTAAGTGGCTTACAGATAAGCAATTTAATCTCCAAATACGAACTCTTGTTAAATTTGGTCAGGAGTTTTATGAATCCGTTTATAATTTTCTGACCGGATATGACCCAATTCTGCAAATTCACCAACCAAATAATGTCGATACTCTTCCAGCAGGTAATCGCGCACATGAAATGCCTGATAAAATAATGTTATGGATTCAAAAGCTTCGATATTACCTAGAAAATATTTATGAATTATTTGGCAATGAATTAACTGATGCAGAACGTGAGCTGAATGTAGTAGATTTTGAAAATTTTTGTACATCATTACGTACTGGAATAGAAAGTGCATTAAATGGGTTTGTTAAATGGATGGAAACCTGGCTTCACTTACCCCTTTGCATTTGTCGATTAGGCGGTGTAAATGGGCCTGAATTTGCATGTGCTTTTTTAGCAGTATTTTTCAATAAAAATTGTTTAAAAGCACCTACTTTAAATGAGGTCTTTTATATTAATGTTTTGAAAGAAGACCTGTCCAATGGATATTCAAATTCTTTCGGGCTACTAGAGGCATTATCACAATGTGATTTTTTTGAAGAATTTGAAGCCTTTGCTAATTCCGATATAGTAGAACCAGTAAAGTTTCCTCTTGTATATGAATTTATTAAATTCCGTATATGGAGCATTACGGTCCATCAGCAACAACTGGAAGGGCTATTCAATCGATATGACATGAAGGTTCATCCAAATATGAATATACAATTACAGGAATCACGTATTCAGCTTTCGGGTTTGGATGGTGGAGCTCAAGAAATTTCACAAGATATACTGCGAAATATCCGAAAAAACATTAACAATTCTAAAGTTAATGAGCAATTAGAATTAGAAAGTAGTGAGATTTCTAAAGAAGAAAAGGCTCATGAAATTCTTAGTAGCTTTCTTACCTGGCGACATAACAAAAAAACTACAAATACAGTAAACCATACTACTCAAGAACAAATAGATCTTTAACTTAATATGTAAATTTTTAATGTATTTGAATTTTAAAAGAATGTAAATATAATATTATATTTATAAAATTAATAAATACCTTTTTTAATATACTTTATTACATTTAACGAAGTTTTATTCGATCGAACCTGGTTGATTTTTATTAGACCAAATTTACAAATTTACAAAGCAAATTTAGTTAGCTGCTAAAAGATAAGTAAAATTTTGACGTTGTTACTATGTAAAGGCATCTATAATTAAACGTTTTGCGGTTATAGAATTAAAAAATGTTAAATATTACGGGAGGAATTAAAAATGAAAGAAGACAACTTTATTATAGTTTTTACTATTGCGTGCAGATCAAAAAAATTTTTGCTATAAAAAAATTCACTAATGATTTTCACTATGCACCTGCACTATGTTTGTAAATAGACTTGCATGATACACCCCAATAACCTATCCAGTGAAAAAAATTCGATGTGCGCATGTGCATTCCGCACATAAAAACTTTTTTGCGAACAAAAAAAATATATAATTGTTTGCGAAGCGCACATAATTTATTAGCAGTATATGTTAAATAATGTGCACTATTTTTAGTTGATAAATTAAAAGTGCACATTATATTTAATAACATATGCAGCATATGAACAATAAATTTAAAAATATGTGCGCAATGCACACATAATTTTGATTCTGAATTTTTTTCTCTGAATCTATCGATCAGTCAATAAGCACTAAAAAAAAGTTATATGTAGTGTAGATGCTTGGAAACTGTAAATATATAGCCAAGTTGCTTGCTAATTGATATAAGGAGTAATGTATATCCACTGTTTAAAGTATAAATATATACATAGCAGATAGTGTGAATACTATGCTGAATGGGTAACTCTATAGGATAGTTATCAAGCTGAAGTGTATAATTAGAATTGTAAATATTATTGGTTTTGAATATTAAAAATGGGTTGTTAAGGTGGTTGTAAGCAAGTTGGTTTGCAAAATTATTGAATTGGTTATCTTGATGTGCAGTAACTTTGTAAATGATGATTTGAAGATTATGAATTAATAAAATTGATTAGAGTATACTATAGTAAGTAGTATAAAGTACAAACAAATGATAAGTGATAATAAGTTAGATTTGAATATAACAGATTGTAAGTCTGTATATATGTAGACTATATAGTTTTTGGATGTTGTAATTAAAGCAGACAGAATTGTTATAAGCTCCATCTTGAAAGAACATAGCCTGAATTTAACTTGTGCTTAAAATATATTAATAATATTGTTTTATTGTATTTGGATCCAATTCCCATAGAATATTGGGTTGATCCAAGTTCTAATACAAAGCAATCTGTATTAAAAAAAGTTTTATCAAGTTATAATTTTAGTTGACAAAGGTTTGAGTTAATGTACTGGATTTAAATAAAAATAGTATTTGTATAAAAGGAATAAATAAATTAGAAGTAAGAATATATATTAAGTATCAAATAACAATAGAATATAGTAAATCTAAAAAGTTATCATTAAAATTAACTGATTTATCAGTTGAGTTAATTTTGCCAAAAAATTTTGTAGCTAAATTAATAGAGATGAGAATAGTATACTTATTGATAATTAGGTTGAAGTTTAAAAAACAGTTTTTATATAGAAAAGTTTTGATTGAGGTATAGAATATAGGTTTGTAAACTGAGGCTTAATAGAACAGCCCCAATATGTAATAAGAACAAGCCCAGTAGAGGTAGGTTGTCTTCATACTTTGCCTAGAACAATTTGATTTTGAAGTATTGTAATAAGTTAAAATAATTAATTTCAGAAAGTTAAAGATGATTATAGAGTATTCATTTATAAACAAAAAAATATATTTAAAGTTTAAAGAAAAGTTTATATGTATATTTTTATAAAAATTAAATTTAATTGATAATTCACCTATAAACTGGAGAATAGGCAAAATGAGACGTCTGCCATCTAAAACTTTTTTTCTTACTAAGTTAACGACATATGGTCATTAATTAAAAATTGTAGAGCTCGTCGAGACGCATCTAACGGTGGTTAGATCATCCAAATCAGCCCAGT